TGTATGTATGTCAGGAGCACTTAAATACTCCTGCCAGGAAGATTTAAGACAATTTAAATTGACTGGAGAAGGGAGCGAGCGGGCGTATATGAGGAGTCACGCACATGCGCGGCAACAGATGGCCCAAATTGCACAGAGGCCATACATGGACTACAGCATACACAGACAGACGGATAGGGATGCACATACACACACCACACATGCTTATCAATACAGAGACATACACATACGTAACCCAACAGATTTTATGTAGTAGGCAGTCCCTCACACAGTCGGATGGGCACACATCACAGCCAATAAACGTTAAACGTACACATATGTCCACGTACACATCACAGACCAATAAATGTTAAACGTACACATATGTCCACGCACACATCACAGCCAATAAACGTTAAACGTACACATACAGCCAACACACCTGCACGGTCACCCCGTTCACAGCGTGCCTGAAACGCCTTAACGTATTGCGTAACCACCTGGTGCAAGAAGCTCCGGTGATTCTCCATGAGAGTGGTCACATACACATCACAGTCACCGCTCGGTCTTAGGCTGATGTAGGCAAGGAACTGATTGACTTTAGAGACATTCTGTGTGCGATCGAGGGGATATATATATATATATATATATATATAACACATACGGCCAACTTAGCGTTGTTGTATTTATATACCATTCTACATCAATAGATACACAAATAACAAAATAGACTTAAGTATACACCATCCCAAATGTAGATACACAAATAAAACAAAAAATGGACTTATGTATCATTCTAGATGCACATACACACAAACAACGCAATAGACGTACATACATGCCTTTCTATATGCACATACACACACATGACACAGTAGGCGTACTTACATACCATTCACTCTACATGCACACCCCCCATGCACATACACACGAATAACACACCACCTCACCTGTTGAAAATGGAGAGTAACTTGGAGAGGGCGTTCTGGCGGTAGGCGTTGTGGATGTCGGCATAGCTCATGCGCACTAACTGCTCCTTCTTCAGAGTGATCAACCGAGCCTTGAGTTCGAGAATCTCCGTCTGGTGGTGGGTTATAATGGGCTGTCCTTTGAGTATTGACGTATGTGTGTTGTGTGATGAATATAAGTAACTTGGTCTTGTGTTGTATTGTGTTGTAATGTATTGTATTGTATTGTATTGTTTTGTATTGTAATTGATATTGATATTGGTATAGTATTGGTAGGTAAAATCGCATTGGAGCATGTTCCACGCAATACTAAAGTATATATATACTTACATAAATACATACATACAA